CCCCCCCCCCCCCCCCCCTTGGTGTGTTCGGCCCAGGCAAGGCCGATGAGACAGCAGACTCCTCCTGCGGGCACCTGGGCCACGAAAGAGCCGCTGAAGTCTTCCTCCTTGCTTCGGTCGGTTTTTTGTGAGGTTAAGAGGTTAGGTAGGGACTCTCTCGCTCTAAGACGGCTTCCAGGATCTGTCAGGTGTTTGGAGAACAGGGTTCCTGTGCAGAAAGCGAGGCCGGTGAACATTGTGAATGGAGACTCCGGCGAGCCTTCTTTGCAGAAGCTTGGCTTCGAAGAGTGCCTTGCATCGAGGCTTCTTAGGTAGAGCTGATGGAGTCTCGGGTCTCGGGGAGTGAGGTATGAAGATATGCCAGCTCGCTTCACAGTGAAACGACATCCTGGCCAGTCTGTCCCTTACGATACGTCGGTTTTGAAAGCCCACTCTTGTTAATGTCCTCCCCCGCACGTGAGAGGCCCGGCTACGGTGAGCTAATCGTGCTGAATGCCACCGCGATCGAGCTTGCGCCTCATACCTCACACCTAGTACATGTCGGAAAGTATATGCTTCGTTGCTGTCGCTAAGCGCTCAGGTATCGCCAGCTGGATGCGACAACGGGGGCAGTCAATGACCAGTGTTAGTCCTGGTGATGGACATGCCATTGCTCTTTGTCTCATGAATATTGACGGCGACTGCCTGCATTTCAGGTTCATCATGTTGAAGGCTTCTTCGGACGATGCTGAGCTTCAGGAGCCATTGACGGGTTGGCAACGGCGGTTGTGGATTCGGTCTTAGTTGCATGTGTGTGGAAAATGCCTCCTGGGGTGAGACATGCAGGGCTACAGCAGGCTGGATCACAAGCAGTATTGGATTCTTCAAGCTTTTGCAGGAAAGAGGGACAATCCTTTTCGTGCTTCGTCAGAAGACGGAAAGTGCTTGCAGAGGTTGATTGGGCCGATTTGGCACTGCTACCCTGGCTATCAAATCCCGTAAGGCTCTTCGTACACTTGGGTGAGGAATAGAATGGAGATGAACAGCGGCAGCCCACAGCCGGCCTGCACACGTGTCCTGCCAGGCCTCCTCGTAGGGTTATCTACTCGGAGCCTGCCTCTGCGTCGTCTTTCAGGGTTTCGGAGACCTCCAAATGCGGGTCTCTAGTTCACACAATTCGTACTCTGTGAAACCTGTGGTTCGGCCCAACCATGGCGGCTGGTTCAAAGTGCATAGAGCTGCAAAATCTGGAGCCCGCCCAGTCCTGCCTACACTTCAGGAGAACTTTCTGGAGGCTGTCGGCTGGCTGGCTGCGGACTCGGCAGAGACAAGTCTACATGTTTGGCGCATGTCCGCGTCGCGATTGCTGCCACTGGAGTGTCATCGCCCAACCAGGCCTTCGCTACTGCACTGGTGACTTTTACCTGCGGGTGCAGAGCTTGGCTTTGTGAAGTTTCTGGAAGTGGTGTCTCCGGCAAGGGATGCAGGTTGAAGAAGGCATGATTTCGTGTGCTAAGGTTCGTGAAGTGGGTACACGCAGATGGCTTGAAGCGCCGCGACGAGGCCGAGACAAAATCCACTACGACTTGTTTACCAGAGAATGATAGGCGTTTACCATCGCCGGTGCATGCGCTGGCAGCTCTGTGCAGGCTTTGAGGCACCTGCGCACAGAGATCGCGGTGACTTGCCTTTATAATAGTTTGAGCCATTTCTCTGCTGTGCTGATCGTTGCCTCTGCCTCTGTGTACTCGATTTGCTTGTTGTTTTCTTGCTCCTTGTAGCGGCCTTCTATGGCTCTGTTCTGGGCTCGAGGTCTTGAGTGGCATGCCGCTGAAGGTGCGCAGCTTTCAAGCGACAGATTTGGCAGGCTCCGCCCGAAATCATCGCAGGTTACCGGAAGCCCTGTCGAAGCCCAGCACTTGGTGGGGGCTGCGGCCTCGGCCATAGAGGGTGCATAGACGGGCCGCGAAGTGCTCCTTATTATGCTGCAGGCATGTAGCACAATTGATGCACCATGCTGTCGTGCCTTCAGCGTCGTGGCTTCGTTGCTGTTGAGGACGCATCCTCTGGGCTTCACTGATGGCTCTTACAGCTTCCAATAGCGAGCGTCTGCATTGAACGGTATTTGGTCATGAGGTCCCAAATGCTGTCAGCCAAGCACATCCCATGTGAACCGCAGAGCTATGAGTACCGCGACTGCGCATCAAAACTCAAGCTAGCAAGCTTTCGTTGAGACAGCATCTAGCACGAGGATTGCTTCCCTCTCCGCTCTCCCTCCGGCAAAGTCGTGGGAATGCGATGCATGCCTCGTCTGTCCTTCAAGCAAAAAGACTATACCTTGACCTGGCTGGGATGCCTGCTTGTGCATTGTCTGGCCACGAGCTCTAGGTTGGCAGTCGCGGTTTTTTTCTGGATGGTGTGGGCACAGGCCCTGAGGATGCCACGGACAAGGGGAGTGCTTGCCTAGTTGAGGGCATTGAGTTCGTCATGCCGAGACGTTCTCCGCAGCCGTGAATGCAACAGATGTCGGAGAATACATGGATCGTGCTTGTGCGCACGACGCGCGAGCCCCAGCTAGCGGCCTCGAGAGGCAGCGCCCTTGTCGCCACGCACTTGCACCTCAGGAAGTAGCCCAGGCGCAGGGGGGCAGATGCCAGAGGCAGGCGAGAAATGAAAGCCTGGGCATGCGTGGGCAAAGTGCAGAGGGCCCAGCGAAAGCTCAGCGAAGCCAGGATGGGCCTTCCACCAGCGCAGCCAGCGAGGCTGCAGGACATGCTGCACACTTCTGATGCTCCGGCGTTGGGTCTTTCAATTTAGACAAGGCCGGCAACCCTGAACCATATTTGAAGACGGCAGCGCTGAACTGGGCGCGCTCGTGGAAACCACCGGGCGTCGCATGTTTGACAAACGTTCCGGACATTCACGAAGCTTTGCATGCTGAAACCGCTTGAAAAGTGTCATGGTTCTGGGAGGGCGCAAGGTTGACTGTTTCCAGAAGCAGCGCTTGCATATGCAACACACTCGGTTTTTGAGCCGCACGTGACATGCCGAAACCTTGCGATGAAACTTGAGTCCAGGTTTAACCTTCTGATGCCCTTGATGCGAGTGATCTTCTTGATCAACACGTTATGCAGTTTCATTCAGGCTTCACGCATCTGAAAGCATGCGCCACATGCCACCACACAGCCTGAATTCTCCGCATCTGGAGACGCCATGGGCCAATCTGATGACAAGACCCGGGGCAGACTGCCCGGGTCGCAGGCCGCCCTGCCACAGATGCGAGGCACAATCAGAGCGCGAGGCTGGTGGTTCGACTCGATGACCGACTTATCGAAGAAGTAGGGCCGTTGGCGAAGTCTCGGGTGAAGAGCACGCAATGAAAGCCCTCATCCATCAGGGGCGCAACAACGAGGGCATCCACAGGCCTGCCGTGGTGCCATCGTCGAGGCCCACAGGCTTACTACGGCCTGTACTTCAACGACTATTAACGGCTGGCATGGCAGGTCCGTCACCAGTTTCAAAGAGCGGCACCCGGTCAGCTGTTTGACAAGCTGAATAGGGGGCCTCTGAGACCCAATTTGCCGTCCAGACATACAGGCGGAAGGGAGGGTAATCTTCGTTGAGAACTCGCATTCCGGCGCCCAGACGCTTCTCAATCTGAACCATGTAGACGTAGAGCAGCCTGTGCATGCTTACAGTTTAGGTCGCTTGAAGTCGCTTGCATCGGCGCCTCACGGTACAAGACTCAGGTGAGGATCGATAGCAGGCAAAAGTTGGATGCGGGTGCTTGGGGCGTTTACGTCGTCTGGGTCAGTCGGGGTGTAAGCCTTAAGCTCTAACCCCTAAAGCTCTAGCTCCTTCTTCCCACAGTTGTGTTCGACGAAGCCCTATGGTTGCTCCTCGGATCCCTAGGCTCGTAGAAAGCAGAACCGACTCTGGCACACGAGGTTTGAAGGGATTGCCTCCACGCGCCTGCAGTGGCAATGAGCATTATTTCCACTCGATGCTGGTATGCCCGAGCTGGCTAGATTTAACATAGCGCGTCAACAAAGCAGCTGCCCAGAAGGTTCTTCGATGGTCTCGGTTCCTGATTGTTTTTGTTCTTTCTCGTTGGTTGAATGGTAGCCGAAGAGCGTTGTGCACACGGAAGGACTTGGCGAAGACATCAGCCAGGTGGAGGCTTTCGCTCCTTCTCAAGCTAAGCAATCAGAGGCAGCATCGCTAAGTTAACTGCCCGGAGTAGAGGATCCAGTCGGTAAGTCAACTGGTCACACCGGGAGTATCCGAGCAGAAGCAGACGCCGAGACCTTTTCAATGTCGCACGGGCTGCTACTGGCAAGTGCTGGTTTTTTGGTGCCCTGGAGTTCTCCGCAGGCCTTCAGCCGCGAGTTCCTCGCGGAGGTGCAGACCAAGATGGACCGGCACCAGCGCGAGTTGCTGCAGCGGCTGAACTTCCAAGATGAGGCCGAGGGCGAGTCGGAGAAATCAGAGACTCCCGAACCCAGAGTGTCAACAGGATGATTCTTCGATCAACTACTACAGCTTTCTGAAATCAGCCCTATAAGGAGCGTTGCAGAAGATAGGCAGGGCCCTTCTGGGCATAGCTTTTTGCTCGCCGCCGTTTCATGCTCAGCGAGGAGACTGAAGCCCATGTCCTCCTGGACATCGACGCGTAACTGCTCCGGCTAAACCAGTACTGTAGGATTTCAGTTCAAGCTAGGTGGGAAGCTTATGCCTATGCAGTGACCTGCGTCGAAAACCAACGCTTTCACGACCCGCCTGCCTCCATGCCGATACCGACAGCATGGCATGCTCGGCCTGGAGGCGGGATTGTGTAGTCCGGAGCTTGTGACATGAGCTTAGGCAGATGCTGAGAGTTGCGGTTGCACTGCTTCCCCTACACACGACGCTAGCCTGCCAGGCAAGCTTCCACCTTCCAAGGACATGGTGCTTCGAGTGCCTGTCCACTGGACACCTGAGCACAAAGCTGTGGAAGTGTCCATGGTCATCGAAGAACCTGAGAAACTTGAGGACAAGAGAAGAAAAGGGTGCGTACTCTCCGAGCTCGCTGCGCTTCTGAAGGAGCAGCGCTTCCCTGAGCCCCGGTACTTCAGAAACGTGGACTGCATGGGCATAACTGGCCTCCTGTCGCTACTGGAGTGCATCCGCATCATCAATGTGGTAGAGCCCCTCGGTTTCCAGAAGCAGTTCCGACTACATGTGCAGGATATGCAATACGTGGACATCGTGGACCCAGAGTTTGCCCAGGCGATTTGGGACGCCGGCCTTGGATGGGTTCTGCGCACGGTCTCGGTGGATGGCTTGGTTCCTTATGGGCTCAATGATGTGATCAGAATACAGAAGTATGAGCCCGGAGGGTATCTGTCGAGGCATATCGACAGATCTATCACCCGAGATGGTCTTATATCCAAGTACTCGCTGCGAGTGTTTCTCAACAGCTCTGGACCGGAAGGTTTCGATGGGGGCCTCAGCGTCTTTCACGTGCCCTACGAAGCTCCGGTAATCTTCGAGCCAACGGCCGGCTTGGGGCTTCTCTATCCTCAGGGGGAGCTCTGCACACTGCAGGAGGAGAACGAAGTAACCCGCGGCGCAAAGTACGTCCTGAGAGCAGATGTTCTCTTCGGGACTCCCGAGGGCCAGCCTTGCAAGAAGTGTTGAAGTCAGCTCATGAAGGACAAAGCTCCTTCGCCAAAAGGACGACGTATGGTGTCTGAAAACCAGACACAAGCAGGCCATGGTGGCACTTAAGGGCCCCAGACGGGGAGGGACGGGTCCTCAGAATGAGGAGCCCTCCAATCTTCGGTGCCTGCCAGGGGTGTTGCTTCAACCGGAGCTCCGTGCGCTTCAACAGACAAGTCACCTTGCACAATCACGCCCGGACAACCATTCCCCACGCACCCGTGAGAAAGAGCCTTGGCGATACTCGCACGGTCGAAGCAAGCTTTAGTTTAGCTCGCGCATGTGATGTCACAAGGATTTGTCTTCTTATGCTTACAGCGTTTCTTTGTAATTCACCTTGCCAGTGATGCAGAGCCTTCACGGACGATTCGGCCAGGTGCTGTCCCTTCTGCTGGTGGCGAAACCTGAGCAGAGGGCAATGGCGGAGACGGAGATCTACTATCAGGAGCAGAGGCTGTTGATGTATACTCTTTGCACGTGCGTATAAACTTAAGTTAGCTCATGTGCATGAATATGGTAGCGACATGGTGCAGCACATGATAGTATCATACAGAGTTACTTTATCACAACGTAACACGCAGCACAGCAAGGTGTACGAACTCTCCTACACGGAACAGTATGCAACCGTGCAAGTTATGACATTGCACGGCATCATACACTATCGTCGCACGTACAAGTAATAGTCTGTAGTAATACCGAATAGTCAATAGTATGCACTGACTGTTACACAAGTGTATTGCTGCTACACCATGTATACATGTGTGTATGTATATTTCGGAATAAATAAATATGCACTCGCTCCTGGTTAACCGATACATTACTGGTAACGTACAGTAGACATGCGCGGGTGTATATGTGAAGCAAGTTGTAAGTGTGTCAACAAACGCTCATATGATACTCATATTTAGAGGTTTACGCTGTTGCAGGTCTTCATATGTTCGACGGTATACATGATGGATGTCCGGCGCATGGTTGTGATGTAGGCACTCCATTCCTCCCTGCTCCCTACGTGCGCCCCGCGGCATGATCTAGCTTCGGCTGTGATGATTCAAAAGGAATCGCCAGAAGTCTTCGCCCAGGTAACTTACTCTTCGGGCTCGGGCTTGCGCTTAGGGTCGTAAGGGCTCATGATCCGCAAGTCTATTCCGGCCTCGACTTCTGAGTAGGCTTGAATCTTGCGGTCAGTCCCAAGAGCAGCGGGGTTCTGAAAATGACGAGCCCTATTCTGATCCAGCCAGCTACACCCTCAGTGTCCTGGGTGCAGACCCTATTTGGGAGTTTCCGAAAATATGGGGTACCTTATTTAGGGGTTCCTTATAGTAAGGATCCTACTATTTAGGGTACTAGATTAGGGTCCCCCTATTTTTCGGAAACACCCATTTGAGCTCTTTTTTTTGAGTCTTGCAAGTTGGGTCCGAGCAGCAGCCGCTGTTCTGTCAGGCAGCCCCCAGAACCGGAGAGCCTGCCCGTGGATCCTCCGAAGTATGGCTCCAAGGCATACTTTTGGGAAGTTTGCGGTTTGGCATTTGGGTTTAGCCTCTGGGAATTAGGGTTTAAAAATTTAGGGTTCAGGGCTTTGGGTCTAGGGTGTACGGCTTTAGGACTTTCGGTTTAGGCGTAGAAGTTGGGAAGGTTTAGGATCGTAGCCTTGCTTGTGCCTCGCCAAGCTCGAACATACTCGACATGGAAGACACCTTATAGGCTTGAGGTTTCTGCAGCATACTGCGTTTCAGTTCACATCAACTTGGCTGTGTAGAACCTGCCTATGGCCAACGCCTTTCTCTGCTCTTGTGTACAAAGGAGGAAATTCGTTCCAAGGGGCCTTGAAATCAATTTTGCTTGGCAAAGTATCACTGTCATTGTTCTCGGTCTGTGGTGAGAATCTTCGACAACTGGCCTGCAAACTCATGCCAAGCCAGGTAGCCTCACGGCAAGAAAGCTTGGATGCGGCAGTGCTCGAAGCACCCGCGGCCGTGGTGGAGGCGGCAACGCCTCGTTGACTAGACCGTTCTATTGCCGTCTAGCCCTGCCGCGCAAGTGCCAAGCAGCAAAGACTTGAGAGGTTTGAGGATGTGGCTGCAATGACAGCTTTTTGAGTGCTTCTCTCGCCTCAAGCTCTGACTGATAGAAGCGGGCTAGACAGTGTGAGCAGGGGAGCAGTGTAGAGACCAAACTGCTGCGGTTGGCTGGCCTTTCATCTTGTGACAGTGACGGCTCTTTTGCACCTCAGTGCCTGCCGTTGCACCGCATGTCGCGTGCAAGCACGCTGCCGATGTGAGCATGGTGGCAAAATCCGCAGGACATGAACCTGGACGCGATCGAAATGCCGCATTCCCGGCAGGCCGGAGGGGTTGCCAGCAGGGCAGAGTGGCCAGTTGCCACGAGATGTTACTGCTAGCAAGCTATTCCTGACAAAGCTGCAGACGCAAGAACAAATGTCTGGCAGTTCAACACAGCCATAAACCAGAAACGGAACGCAGCAGCGCTGAATCGTTCATGGCCAGCAGGGAGCAGTGACATCACCTTCGACTGAAACCATGAGCCAAAGTCTGCTGACCGACTTGAGCAGGGCCATTGACGGACACTCAGATTGCTAGACGTACAAGTTTCAGCCGCAGTCCCTACGTTTAGATTTTCGCAGTTTTGGAGGAGGTTCCAGAGCAAGTGCCTTGCATGTAACATGAGCATCATGAGCAGGGCATGAGTCGGTGTCCCTGTTCTTCATGCATACTGTTGCGCTAGCGCGGCACGATGTGGGTCAAGTACACGCACTGCGCATTCGGTTACTGGACGATAGGAGACATCACGACTCATCCTCAGACTCTGAGACAATGGGACAACGGGACACCCTGTGACAGAAAGCAGATGACAGGGTAGAAGACTCGGCTTTTTCAGCCACGCTGTTGCAGTCAGTTGAGTTCCGCCCTCGTCCATCGCGATGCAGCGCGGATCCCACGTCGGCAGGCGCCATTCGGCCCCAACCGGTCTCCTTGCGGTGGCCGTGCTCTGGTTTAGCACATGCTGCGTAACCACACCTGATGGCATGGGCTTCGTCGCAGGGCACCAGCGCAGCATGCGGCCAGCTTCCGGAATCCACCGTCGCGCATTCGGCGCTCAGGAATGGGGCGTTCCGGATTGGTTTCCCTGGGCCGAAACTTGGAACGGCTGCCTGAGGGATTTGTCCGAGGCCTTTGCCAAGTCGTTTCCGTCCATGCCGCGCTCCATGACTATGGAGGAGTTTGCAGAGATGAACGACGAGCTTGCGAACATGCGAGCTCGGCTGAAAGCTGCGCGACAGCGTGAACAAGCNNGCCACTGCAGCCTTGGCAGAGCTGGAGCTGGAGATGGAAGACGAACGGCTGGAGATGGAAGAGGAGATGGCATCCTTGACCCGTCGTGCAGCAGCCTTGGGTCATGACCCAGACACAACCCGATGACAGCTGCAGCCTATGTCAAAGAGCACGGCTGCATCAGCCTCATCTATGGGAACCCAATGCTCCAACAGATTACGAGTCGTGCATGTTTGAGGAGATGGTTTCATCGACTGAGCGAGATCATGAAGAGACCTCAGAAGTGATGTAGATGTAGGCTACAATGAAAGCCATCCCCGTGACTAGGCGATCTCGTGCAAAAGAGACCCTCCATGTTGCGTTGTTGAGAGTTGCCAACCTGTCATTGGAAAACGGCTTGGGTGCAGCTTAGGGGCTGGAGGTTTATATTCTGTTGCAGATCTTACAGTTGAGTGCGCCGTTGCAAAGTTGACTTCATCGCTTGAGGCAGCGGTGTGCACCTGTGGTATGTTCCCAGACTCTTGCCTTGAAGGTAAGTCGAGACAGTGGGTTTCGCAAGGACAGGGCGGCATGATGCTTTCCGTCTTTGCCGGACCGTGTTGTGCTGGCCACGAGACTTCATAACTCATAAGCAAGCTGCGGCTCATGTCTGCCAGACGGAGACACTCACAGGGAAAGAAGAGCACTCCTCGGGATTGAATCATGGGCAAGCTTGTCTGCCTAACTTCCCTCTCGATGGTGACATGCGAAGTAGTTCGCACCCACTGCTGGCAAGGAGGCGGCGATGATCGACGTGCAGCAACAGCTTGACAGAGTTGGCTTCAATCTTGGTAATTCTCAGTGCAGGCGTTTGGCACTTTACAGCAGTTGCACGTGAGGGCGAGGCAAGATGCTGAGCAAGTGCAGTCTTCTGGGATGCGCCACTTGTGAGCCCTTCCGCAACACCTGTTGCGATGAGGTGCATCCAAGCCAAGGCTTTTCCGCACGCAAAGTGAGAAGGAGCGCATCAGATTGAACAGACGCGCTGAGAGTCATGCCAGCGAAAAGCTTGTATTATAGGCGTTCTGACACGATCACTTTGCAGGAGGAGGCCATGAAGCGTGCTGCTTCGGCACGGGAGCTGGAAATCGACCTCGAAGGCTGCGCGGTCATCTTAATGACAGTCCACTGCGTTCCTGCCGGCAGTGAGGGTTTAGATTCACGTATCGCCGTGCAAGTTCGGCCTCACGGCATGCCTCGTAGACGGGTCGATTCACCCGAAAATTCTAGCTTTAGAGGTTCTGAAGAGTGTCGGGAACAGAAACTGTGCTGTTGCCAATGTGCATTGTGTCATCATCTGTTACTGGTATGTTACATACTTATACTTGTGCTTATTTTCTGTGCTTCTGCACTCTTGATTGATGTTATGAGTACAAGTGGTAGTCACTAGTCACTAGTTCGGAGAAAATAAGCAAGCATCTTTCACACTGTTTCAGAGGAGTGGCATCGTAGCAACAGTTGTACTGTTACTTTGGAACATGTCAATCGATCTGCAAGAGGTTTCACATGAACATGCTGCGAACAGCTTGTTTGTTTTAGGAATACTTCTGAACTGGGCAGTATGCATCGTGCGGTTCGCAGCGATCACAAACAGCGTGCCGATACACATGCTAGATCGCTAGCCATCCATCTGTCTATCCATCTTTCATAGATTGACAGACAGATTAGATCCATCTAACAATGTATCTGTCTGCCTATCCACGTATTTGTCTTTGTATTTGCGGGCTTGGTGACAGCAGGTAACAGTGCGGTTGCTCCCTTCTACATGTTACGAAGGCTAAAGTAAATCGTGTAGGTATCGTGGCTTTCGAGCTTCCAAGAGAAATCATTTTCGCTGTTGACGCCTGGTTTTTGGGACTTGTGGCGGCTACTCGAGGCCCTGAAGCTATCCATCGCATCATTACGGTATACGGCGTGTTTCTCTGTGCACAAACTATAACTAACTAACTTTATTCTGGTGCCGACAGCCCCCCAAATGGACAGGACACCATTGCGAGCCCCTCAAAACAAAAGGAGGGGCAACCAGAGGACATGAGTGAAGAAGCGTGGCCTGCAGCAAAAAGGAAAACGCGACACTAAGCAGCTCATGTACTCATCCACCTTGGAAAGCAACCTAAGCCAGGAGACAACCAACAACGGCCTTTCCTCATACACACCAGACACGGAGGAGCCTGGGTGGATAAGACAAAGCCTAATAAAGCAAGCAAGCAGCCTCCACTCACCCACACCAGACACGAAGGAGCCTGGGTGGGCAAGAAAGAAGCCTAGTAAAACAAGCAAGCAAGCACGACCAAGGCGACCAAGCTAAGAGCTCCATCTACCACGCCACAGATACTCCTGAACCTGCACGGGTAGGGAAGGACCTTGTCCGATTCGCCCTTGCTGCCCCAACCCCAACGCCGAAGAAGACTGCAGCGCAGAATCGGGGGACGAGAGCTCACGAGCGGACTAGCTCGGCACTCCCCACACATGTGATGCCAAGTGCCTAAAGAATCGCACCACAAACAACGGTCGCTGAACACATGCGTCGTCTGGAACCAAGCAGGATCCACAGTTACACCTACAGCAACGGTCCTGCAACCAGGATTCTTCATCAACCGGCGCATATGCTAAAAGTCACAACGGCGAAAAGTCTGAATGTCGACGTTTCCAACTTCCACAGCCTCTTGCCGACCAGACGACATAAAACGACTTCAACGGTACTCACGCCAACCGGAGCGAAGATTGTGATGCCTCTGCAACAGAGCATTAGCTCGAAGAGAAAGGCGGAGCCCCTGCCTTTCCCAAGACAAGGGAGCAACTTCATTCCAACCACGCTCTTTCAATCACTTACGAAGAGACCACAAAGGGGTGTACTTCACATCGTCCCAGACACAGCTGCCTTTCCGACGAAGCTGATGACGATACAAGCTACAAGGACTGCGCACATTAACATGACTGTTACCCGCGAGGATAGCAGCACGCAGCCATTTGTTGCTCATCCATGCAACGTTCTACGCCCTCTTGACGGCCACCCAAAGCTTGTTGCTGACTCCCCACGTAGGAAGACGAGCAACCCAACCGTACGACACAACGCTAAGACCGAACATGTTGGCATACCTGCCTGAAGCCTCAGTGTTCAAACGCAAGGAGCCAAGGACCCGAAGACGCTCAAGAGCAAGGGCAACTCTCCCAGTGTCTTTATCGTGAGTGGAGCGAGGTTTACCTCGGCTCACAACCCCGAGAAAGAGAACTTTGGAGCACGAAGCATCCTCATCGTCGAAGTGAGGACGAAGAGCCTTTTGTTGCGCAGTTCTTGCTCCAGCAAACTGAGCTTTGTCACCCGACTCAGCCAAACCAGCCCCGCGCGACCAAGCAGCCCATGCATCAAACTTAGCACGCAAGAACCCCGGCTCGCCAGCAGTGAATGTGCCAGCAGTGAATGTGCGATCGTCCATAAAAATAGACATGACACCACTGCCGGTAACGTTGCCAGGTAACGTCCTTTCAAGAAAACGCGCACCCGTGCTCAACCAAATGGCACAGATCAGCCCAAACGGGTCGCCTTGCGGCAACGCCAAAAGAGCACGCAACGGAGGGACTTCAACGGGACCATTCCACGATTGCCATCTCATATGACGACTCCACAAACAACCACACAATTTACTCATGTGACTTTCAAAACCAAGTCTCCCGAGCAAAGCAGTGGAAACTTCAGGCCTAAGCAGATCGAAGCATCCGCAAGAGACTGCAAGACGGCAGCGGCCGCCACCTGAGGGTCCGCACCCTTGCCGTAAACAACCGACGAATGCAAAACCGAATGAATCCATTTCTACATCTGAGACTGTTTCAACCAGGCACTAGAAAAGCCACGCCAAAAGGCGCTTAACACCGTAATGGGACGAGCATGATCGGCACGCAAACAGCTGCCTTTCAGTTTATGCTCTTTGACCAAGTAAGCGTTGCGCGCGTGCAACAAAGGCTCTGGCAGGCGGCCAGACTGCAACCAACGGTCACTCACTTTCGAAAAAAGCCACACATCCGCAGGGAGACAACTCAACTCGTCACCAGTCCAACCATCGCCACCAGAGGCACCACGCATGGCACTAGCAACTTTACGGAACTCGTCCCCCCCCCCCGGCGCAACCCAACTATGCACGCCGCCAGCAGGAGTGACAAATGTCATGCAACGACGGCCCCACTGTTCAACAGTTTTCCAAAAATCCAACCGCACATGTATGTGCACAGAGGCATCCAGCTGCTACGGCGATCCGCGGGAAAGGGAGAAGAGAGAAGATAGACCGAGAGAAAGAGAAAGAGTGAGAGAGACTAGCACAGGCTCGACAAGACCGGAGCAGATGCACACAGACCCGGCAACACATATACTGGCTGCAGCAGTATCTTCCGAAGATGAAACAGTCTAGACCCAGCGCGGACATATGCGAACATGGTGCGTGCGGATGGTCAGAAGTTTTATCCGGTCTACAGGAATGTGCACGACGTGACAGGGAGCGATGCCGTCAAATTGTTCAATGCAGTTTTCGCATGCTGGTGGGCGCCAGTGAAGTTGGATGGCATTTTTCATGTGCCCTGACGGAGCCCAACGCCCAGATCAGGGCCATTGTCGTGGATTACCCAGGTATGTCCTACGACGTCCTCCAACGGAATTGTATCCACTTTGCAGACGACTTCTGCCACTGCTTGCAGGTGAAAGGCCTCCGGGGGTGGATCAATAGCGCGCAAGAATCGGGAGCTCCATGACCGAAAATGTCAGCGAAACAGCGACTTGGTTCGGTTCTTTCGCATCGTGCTGGCCAGGAGAATCGACCGAGAGACATTCTCCATCCCGGAAGCATGCTTGTGACAGCTACGACCATGGTGGCTCTCTTGTGAACGGCCAAAATTACATCTTCTGGACTTTAGTTGATTTAGCTCCAACAATGATGATAACTTGCGCAATGCGTATGCAACAACACGAGGTGGTGCTGCCTCGGAGCTCATGGTGGGTTAGACATGCCAACGCAAACCACATTTGAGCCCGTCGGTGCGCAAGATCCTGGCATCCACCCTTTGCCGACTGAAAAAACGATTCCAATGCGTGGCGGCATCCTGCCACTTCCCCCTCATTGTGGTTCATTTCTCCAGCCTTTCTGGCCTGTTTCAGTTTGGATTGACATTTTCTGCAGCATTCTCATACCCTAACACCTCACCTTAAAGCCTAGACCTTAAAGCAAGAAGCCCAAAGCCCCAGAACCAAGAGCAACGTCTACATGCAGCTATTTGTCTATCTATGTGAATCTACATACTGTATATACAAGTATATAATCGTATATATATATATATACACACACATAATTTATGTATATCTATATGTTTGGGAGCTGAGGCCACGTAGTTTCCTGTTCGATCATTCCTGCATTGCTCCTATACGCTGATACTATATCAGCAGCCCCGAAACCCTATGTTCTTGTGGCTGAGGCCCCTCAAATTTGACCTTAAGTCTTGGCGAGCCGAATTCTCGTTCAGGAGCGCCCGCGGACGAAGCCAACGACTCCGATATCTGTCCTTCGCCGGGGCACCAACTGTTGCTCAAACATACTGCGGCCGTCGAAGCTGTTTGCAAAGTAGACTAGACGATGCACCGTGGTATTCTTGGCCAATCCACGGTGGCGGTCCTAATTGCCGTAGAAGCCGAGCTTCGCATGAATCCAACTCTGAGGCAAACCCGGCGGAGTGTCCGCAATGCCTCTCCAGAAATTTGGGAAGAGATGAGCTGGAGAGAAAAGATGCAGCGCGTGGTTCAGTCGGTGACCCTTGGCTGAGACGGCACTGGACTCATAGGAAAGATTCGGTAAGCCCCGATGCATCATTGCTGCACATGTGAAAGCATGTGAACAGATGGGCAGGAAGTCAGACACCGAGGCCCTTCGAGGTCTTTTTCTCGGTCTGTATCGTGGCGAATGCGGTGGAGCTGGGCGTCGATGTGCAGATGTTTGCGCACAATCCAGGTGCGGACCCCCTGCTGCAGCCACAACCGCCTATTGCAGCCACATTGCTACACCATCACCAACTAGACCTCACAGCATGAACTGTCAAAAGATTGCGGCTGCTCCTGACACACGCCATTGCAGGGCATCAACCGGAAATGCCAGTAGCTGCAGCTTTTTCCCACCCGAAAGTCGCCAAGAAGTGAGGAGGCTCTCAAAAGGTCGTTACTGTACCTAAGGTTTCCGAGGACAACATCTTTTCGTCTCTGTTCCTGCTTGCCGCAGCTATTCCGCGTAGTCTGACTCGTGCTGCAGTTTTGCTTCAGTCGTTGAATCCTCTTATGCACACGTGAGATGCCTGGCGCAACCTTTGTAAATCTCTTAGGGGATCCCTAATGGCCCTAGTCTTCATGCCCTGAACCCCTTCGGAGGCGAGGGTTGAGAGGTATGTGCAACCTTGGCACAACGAGTGGTTAGTATTGCGGGGATGGAGACAACCCTGCACCAGTTGAAGTAAGTTGTCAGAGCACGCCGCACCCTTGTTTAAACCTTGAATTCCAGTCCGCGAACTGCCCTGGTTTCACTATGTTTCACTCACGCAAATCCAAAGTAGCGTAAACAAGCCATGATGGCGAACTGGAGTGGGAGTGTCCAAGGTCAAATTGCAACCGAAGAGTAACTAGTACAGTATGAGACCTGAAATGGTGATCAGCCTTACGGAAAGGTGAAGCTGCTAAAGTCAGAAGCCAGAGGGTAGCCTGCGGTTGGGGTCGAAGACTACAAGAAAGAGGTGCAATCGAAAACCTGGTTCCTACTCAACGCAGCGAACGCGGAAGGTTAGGACGGTTGGGGACCAGTTGGGGAAGGCTTGTAACGTCCCTGCCTGTCCACTGACTATCTCAAGCTTTGTTTCAGGTCACTCCGCGATCGAGATGGAGGTTTTCGCCTTAGAGCGCCGGGAAACAGAGCATCCACAAGTCCGAGGAAAGAGCTTCCGGTTGGATTTGCTTTGTGACTCAGTCTTCAGGAGAGTCCGTTTCGCGACAGCCTGTTCCGTCATGGGCACTGGCTGATGTTTTGCTAGACCCATTCCACAGAAGCTCGCGTCAAGAATCACATGTACGCAGGGTGCATTTGCAAAATCGCTTCCTGCCGATAGCGGGATGTCGCGCATCAGGTCATTGGCTACATCTTCACAGCGCTGTTTGCGGTGCCCATGCTTGCATGTCTAGCGATGTCATGTTCGTGAAGATGTCATGAGCATTGGCCGACCTCGCTGTTCTACGGTAATTATGTCTGAAGTTGAAGACAGTACCTTTTCTCAGGTGGAGCTTTTCCTGAGAATTGCCGCTTATGGCAGCACTCTCAGACCTCAGTCCTCGAGACCAGCAAAAGTCGGCCGCTTCGTCTGCTCGTTGAGGTAAGCAATTCTTCCTGGAACCGAAGAACCTTGCTTGGAACATCATGGATCTCATCATTGTCGGCAGTGCTTTCGTCGAAATCATCGTGCAGGTGGGCTTGAAGGGTCATGTCGTCAGCAGAGCCATCAGCCACACACTCTTTAAACCATCTCATGTGGTGCAAGTCAGACCAGCAAGTGACTGTGAGTGATCCGCGGCATTGCGTTCTGCCCCCCCCCCCCCCCCCGTGTCGCTGAGCATACTCAGCCAGGCACGCGGAATGCAAGACCTTCATACTTGCAGCCCAATTGCTTCTGCAGCTTCGCTGCATGTTTGTCATGGAAACTTTGGCCGAGTCCAGTTGGCGCAGGACACTCCGCCTGGGGTGTCTACGTTGACGAACATGCGTGTGCTGCGGATCATCAGAATCACAAGATTGGTTCGATTGACGCGCATCGCGCGGATCACTCGCATCCTGTCTGCAGGGATCAAAACCTGGTACCTTTGAAACTTGTCCCTCCACTTCAAGCATGCAGTACCCAAGATCGTCTCTGACACAGTTCTCAAGGACCTATGGACCCTATATGCTGCAGACGTAATGTGCGAACGGCACAGGCACAGCATCATAGCATGGCAAAACCAAGACTCAGCTGCGCTCAAGAAGAAGATTGCCTGGATGCAAGCCCACAAGCCCGAACCTAAACCCTACAGCCGTTGCTCGAGTCATGCTGATGATGAAGCACCTGGCCGGGTCTGCTGTAAACTACAGTTTTGAACCTATGCTGTACTGACATGCTGCTCGGGTGCAGGCGTCAAGTTTGGCTTTGCTGTTCAGATTTCCTAGTTTAGTTGTCAAGACATGCAACAGTCACAAACTCATATCAAGGTTGTCCAACAGAATCCCTTTCTGACGAACCCACCGTTCAACAAAGCCCCTTGAACCTCAGAACTCCGTATCTAACAGCCATATAGTCCAACCGAAAGCCTTGTCTGAGGTGAAACCGGGTCTAGCCAAAAGCCTTCGTCACAGAAAGACAGACCTTTTCAAAGGTTCAGGCTTCTTTACGCTCATGGATCCTTGCCCCTCATGCCCCTAAAACTCCCTAAATCCACCAGGGTAGATTTACAATCAACACGCCTCCCCAAACAAGAACCTAGACCCCTGTCGCTACAATTGCTGCAACCCCCAACATAGTAAAGCGCTGGTTGGTTACGCAGAATAGGGCACATTTTCACAGAAAGAAAGCAAGAAAGAAGAGCTGGGCCTCGTGCCAAGGATTCATCAAGGCGCTGCGGACTTTGGTGAGTTCGATCGTCTTTACGCTCAAATCTCTGGTTTGGGCATTGGTGCTACTGTCGTTGATCATCTATGGGCACCTCGATCACATAATTGCATAACGGACAAAGATCCTGCCTAGCTTCATTGGTTGTGCTTCGCGGCTGAAGGCGTCGCATGCCTGGGTAATACAATGCAGCGACTGCTTGCTTGTGCAAGGTTTGGCATTGTCTTCACACAAGCATCAACCCTCTACCTCATGGATTCTCAAACTGGCGACGGCCCCTTGGCAGATTAACGTCGTTCCTCTATACTGTCGAAACCCACTATACACACTGGGTCCAGTTGTCCACAGTCTCAAGGTAGACTCTCAAGCCATTGTTTGTCTGCGTACGGCCGGCATGAGTGTTTTCAGATATCTGTAAGTTCCAATCAACGTCACAGGACCTGGAAAGCTTCGTTGGGACAACCGTTTTGTCACAGATGGCGGCGCAATCGATTCAGACCCGTCTTTGGTTGGGTTGTTGAGGGAATTATGCAAGCTAGTTCTTGAGGGCCGCATCGACTACTGCGGCGCCGCTCTCGACGTGCGGGAGCAGGAGTTGTGCTTGGCTCCGAGGTGCTTTGGACGATGCGGATCCGATCCTGATTGCCATCGATGAGTACTGGAAGGATCTCCCTGCCTCCATGCTGACGTTGTTCATGCTTCTTTGGCTAAGCATCATGTTGCGCTGCGCTTTGCTGATCATGGCAGTCTGTGGACGTCGCAGGCTTGATCCCTAGCAACCTAGCAACTTGAACGAACATCCAAGGGCAATCTGCGGCGGGGTCAGTTGGGAGAATGCATTGAGACCGATGAGTGTTGTCTCGGAGTGGTGCGTCCCTTGACTGCAAGAACACTGCTGGGAATCTAGGTATGCTAGCTGCTGCTAGGTGGTTCGTCCGCAATGGGTTCTGCGAAGTTGATGGCAAGTAATGCGAGTCCGGTGCAGCTATTGTCAAACCGGACTGCACACAGCACAAATCAGCTCGGCTTTACAGCGAAGCCGCAAAGTCGTGCAAGCCATTGACATCTCTCTGCTGCCAGGCTTCTGTTGGAAAAAGTAGTTTGCGCTAGTCTATATTGTGGTTTCTGATTATATTGAGGACGAGAGACAACAAACCAACGACTTGACAACTATGGAAGAAAAGGACGAACTAGCCAGTTGAAAAGCATCCGCGGAAAAGATCTCAAGACAAGAAAGGCCGGGTAAGAACACATTTGCCAAGCGAAGATGAGAGCAACTGGCTTCGAAAGATAGGCGTGGGCGAAACAGATAAAGGTGCTAAAGTTTTCCTTCCTGCCCGTGGCACCTAACTCTATAAATGTATGAAAACCGGACTACCTTCAGTGGAACCTGAGGTAGCGGGACGGCCGGATGTGGCCCCGGCAGGGCTCACTGCTAGAAACATAGGTTGTGAACAGGTGAATCATCTTGGTTTTGGGGTTCCCTGTCGACGCTTTGAATCACGCAGGTCACTGTCGCACCACCTGAGTGTGACCGTGTGTGCGATTCAAACAATGCTGTGTCATTCCCATGACATAGCAAAACCCGATGTGGTTGAGACTTTGGGACCAGATGTCTTGCCTGGAGACATCCAAGAAAAACTTCCTGCTTGCCAACTGGGGCGGCCAGCTACGGTTTTGTGACAAAGCGAGCCAGCTCCTGAAGGAGCGCAGCTTGGGACCTTTGCGTGGTAAGGGGACATGGGGCACGGGCATCAGCCGAATAGAATCCGAGACCAGTCCAACATTCGGGTGCCAAGCGGCGAACTAGTCCTGCTCCATGGCTTTCTGGCCTGGGTTCAAGCCCTTCATTTTTTTGTCTTCGGCTGTCGCAAGATCTCGGACTCGTCGTCTTGCCGTAGTTTCATGCGAAGGGTGTTCGACTCTAGTTTCGGGTTCCTGCCCTGGTTTGATTTCCAAAGTGTTGTGTTTGACTTTTCGTTCAAGGTTATGAAAAATTATTTGGTGTGTTCTATCGCAACATAAACAATTAAAACGGTAAAACAAAGGTAAAATAAAGGTAGAGGGAAAAGGTAAAGAACAGCTGACCCTTTCGGGAGAAGGTAAAATGAAGGTGCAGGGAAAAGGTAGAAGGAAGGTGCCTTATGAGGATAAGGCAATATAAAGGTACGGTATAGGCCGTAGTATAGGCCGTAGTATTGGCAGGAGGTAGAAGGGAGGTGTGAATTAAGAAGTTCAAAGTAGGTATGGAATGAAGGGCTGGGCCATAAACGTGCGTTGTCAGTCGGTTAAGTGTCACATGGTTGTTGAATAACAGGTCAGCAGAGAACAACCAGCTCGAGAATGGGAGGTTGGTTTTGGGCTGGATGCGGGGGGGGGGGGGGGGGGGGGGG